TTCTTTGAGTTGTAGACATTCTTGCCCAAAATATTGATTTAACATGTATTGACATTGAACGACCATGGTCAAAAAATAAGGAGCTTAACCATTCATTTTCTTGAAGACCAAAATCCTCAATCATTCTTTGCCAACTTTTGATAAAGCCATTTAGCTACACAGAATCATACATAATGGCTTTTAAGTTTTTTTTTTCTTTGTATTGAGTCAACTCACCTAATTTCTCAGTTACCTTCTTCATAATATGCCAAAGGAAAAAACGATGATGAGATTGAGGAAATACTTTGGTCACTGCTACTTGAATAGATTGACATTGATTTGTAATTATTGTTTTTGGAGTTCATCCATGCATGCATTCCAACCATGATTTAAACAACCATACATATGTATATATGTCTTCCCTCGATATAGGCTACTCGTACTCACCATTACAACAACTCAACATGACACAAGAAAATTACATATTTTCTAAACCATCACAGGTTTATCATACAAGTATTCTTTTATTTTATTTATATAATTTCTTACTAAGTGGATGAATACAAAGAAAAAAAAAACTTAAAAGCCATTATGTATGATTCTGTGTAGCTAAATGGCTTTATCAAAAGTTGGCAAAGAATGATTGAGGATTTTGGTCTTCAAGAAAATGAATGGTTAAGCTCCTTATTTTTTGACCATGGTCGTTCAATGTCAATACATGTTAAATCAATATTTTGGGCAAGAATGTCTACAACTCAAAGAAATGAAAGTATGAATGCATTCTTTGATAGATATGTTAACTCAACTTGTTAACTCATATTTTCAATTTATATTAAGTTACTACTTTGAAAAACAACTTCAAGAGGCCTATATCAATGCAATTTTTAAGTTGTTTTAAGATGAATTACGCGGTATGCTTTTTTACAATTTCACATTGTTACTTTGAAAAAAAAAATTCAAGAGGCCTATAGCAATGCAATTTTTAAGTTGTTTCGAGATGAATTGCGTGGTATGCTTTTTTGCAATTTCACATTGTTAAGAGTTGATGGTCCAATATATTTTTAGTATCCTTGATATTAAAGAAGGGAAGGACGAATATCACGAAAAAAAAAAAGATTTGCATACATAGTGCAATATAATGATGTGGAGTGTGATCTTCAATGTTCTTGTCATTTGTTTGAATTTAGGGGAATACTTTGTAGGCATATAACAAAGATCTAAATTGAAAACCATGTGAAAGAAATCCCCTCTCTGTACATTTTAACTCGGTGGAGAAAAGATGTAAAGCATAGTCATTATTATGTGCTAAATTGTTATGCTAAGTGACCAAGGTGTGGAATTTGATAAGTTGTGTGCCAACTTTTATGAAGCTGCACTAATTCAAGAAGAAAGTATATATGATTTTTTTTATTTTATGGAATGGATAGATAAAACAAAGGAAAAGCTTAAAGATGATAAGGGTTGGGATAGTAGTAAAAAAATTATTCTACCAAGTATTGATCATGTAATAGAATCAAGTGAAAAATTATTATCTCCTTTACAAGTGCGTAGCAAAGGTCGTCCACCATCCACGAGAATTTTTATAAAAATATATCTCTTCATAATTATCCTATCTTTCATATATATAAAAGGAGGGGTCTATTTACTCCAAGTAAGCCTATCTAAATTTATTTCATTTAATAATTCATGTTTTACATCTAATTTTAATAATTCAATCGTTGAATTTAAAGTTCTTAATGTACAGATTAAGTTCGCAAATTTAAAAAAAATTAAAAATATTTAATATTTTGTTTTATTAATTCAAAGCAACGTATAAAATAATTTTATAATTATTCCTCACTTTGAATTAATGAAACAAAGTATCCAATGATTTTCAAATTTCTTAAAAATTTGCAAACTTGATTTATACATTAAGAATTTTAAATTCAACGATTGGATCATTGAAATTTGATGTAAAACATGAGTTATTAAACGACATAAGTTTAGGTAGACTTACTCTTAAAATAAAGGCTAAAAACCTATTTTGATCCCTTATAATAATTATTTGTTTCAATTTAGTCTCACTTTTATTTTTGGTCTCAATTTGGTCCCTAATAAATTAATTGGTTTCAATTAAGGACTTCCGTCCAAATTATTTAAACGGAGTTATCTGTTGGCCACGTGGATGCCACGTAGATGCATAGGTGGATGTCACGTGGGTGCAAATTTTTTTGAAAACTCCTGGAACCAGAACGACCCATTCTGAAACCAGAACGGGTCGTTCTGGATGCACTCTTGGTGTGTTAATTTTGCATCCGAAACGGCCCGTTCCAGGTGCAAAATTAACACACTAAAAGTGCAACCAGAACGGGTAGTTCTGGTTTCAGACTGCTAAACATAAACGATCAATAATTATAGTTCACGGTTGTGAATCGTGGAAGGAAAAAGATAAAAGGTAAAAAGAATTTAAAAAAATGAATCTGGTAATATTGTTAATGAAAATTGATAACTTCAATTGCTAAACAGTTAGGCTATACAATGTATCATTAAGGACAATGCAGTGTATCACTAAAGGCAATGGTAGCAGATTTTATTTCATTTCAAACTGGAGTAAACCACTTATTACCAAATTGACACTATATAGTAAAGGATGAAATGACATGGTATTTTTCCTTGAAATCATTAACGATGTACCCCAATAACAACAACCTGTTCTTGAAGAGGTAGAACCTGAAGTAAAGAAAGAGGATACATAAGACTAATATTTCACCACACAACCACATACAGGGACAGATATAAGTTAATCATAGTGCCCCCACCAAAAAAAATTTTCATTCTTTTTTTTATATATAAAATATTAATAATTTTATAAAATATATATTATTAATTATATTTTAATTATGTTGTTATATCTAATATAATAAATATATTAATTTTTTTTATTTTTTATTTTATTATTTAATTATTTTTTATTTTGTGGTAAAATTATCTTCATTTTTAATGAAGAAAAAATTTACTTACTTCAAGAGTAAGTCTTGATAGATTTATTCTACTTAATAATTAATGTTCTATATCAAATTTTTAAAAATTTAATTGTTAAATTAAAAAGCTTTTCATGTATAGATCAAATTTATAAAAATTTTAAAAAAATTAAAAATTATATGATACTTCGTTAAAGTAATTCAAATTAATATATAAAATATTTTTGTTTTAAATGAGTATAAAAATTTAGGGACACTAAAAGAAAACAAATTAATAATTTTATTATGTTTATCCTATTAATTTTTATCATTTTATTCCTCTAATTTTAAATATGTTGCAAAAAATTATAAAGTGACACTTAAATATTTCTTCAGACAGAAAGAGAAAAAAGAAAAGTTATCACTTATTTATAAGACAATTGTATTTTATAAAAATAAGTAATTTTAAAATTTTTACCATAAAAAGATATTTTTCAAAATTATTATATTTTTTTAATAAAATTAATATAGAATATTCTATCGACTTCACTTAACTGGCGTTCTGGAACGTGCCGTTCTAAATCCAGAACGACTCGTTCTGAAACCAGAACGGCCCATTCTGGAACGGATCGTTCTGATGTACTGGTGGTGTGTTAATTTTGCATCTGGAACGGCCCGTTTTAGATGCAAAATTAACACACCAAAAGTGCACCCAGAACGGCCCGTTCTGATTTTAAAACGGGCCGTTCTTGTTCCAGGTGTTTTAACGATATTTGGCATCCACGTGGCATCCACCTATGCATCTACGTGACCAACAGTTAACTCCGTTTAAATAATTTGGACGGAAGTCCTTAATTGAAACCAATTAATTTATTAGGGACCAAATTGAGACCAAAAATAAAAGTGGGACTAAATTGAAACAAACAATTATTATAAGAGACCAAGATAGGTTTTTAGCCTAAAATAAATGGGTCCCTCTTATATATATATATATATATATATATATATATATATATATATATGAGAAGGGATTTGTTTACTTCAAGAATAAGTCTACCTAGACTTACTCTATTCGATAACTCATGTTATACATCATATTTTAATGATCCAACCTTTGAATTTAAAGTTCTTAATGTATAAATCAAATTTGCAAAGTTTTAAAAAATTTGAAAATCATTTGATACTTTTTTTCATTAATTCAAATCAATATATAAAATCATATTATGATTATTTGTCAATTTAAATTAATGAAATGAAGTATCAAATAATTTTTAAATTTAAAAAAAAAATTCATATTTGATATTTACATTAAGAACTTGAAATTGAACTGTTGAATCATTAAAATTTGATGTAAAACATGTTATTGAATAGAGTAAGTCCTAGAGAATTGATCTCTCTTTCATCTTACACTCTCCCTCTCCCTCCCTCTCTCTCTCTCTCTCCTATTTCTCTTTCTTGCTCTCTCACTCTCACTCCTCTCTCCCTCTCCCCTTATTCTTTCTCTCTCCCTCCATATCTTTATTTCTCTCTCTCTTCTATTTCTAAAGTTTAATGATATTTGTTAAGAATTATTATTTTTTATTTGGATGAAATTAAATTATATATATTTTCTCCTTCTTAATTATAATATAACATTTTTATTTATTTTTTTTGTTAAATTTTGTATTTAAATAATTTTAATTATAAGTTTTCAATTTTTTGAAATAGTTTAATGTTATATTTATAATAAGATTTGAAGAAATAAATATATCTAATGAGCTTATTTTAATAAAAAAAATATTTTTATAAAAATTATTTATATACCCATACTTTCAACAAAATTAGCAATTGTTTTTTTTTATATAGAGAAAGTTATTTTTTCTTTAAATATAAAATAGGGGTTGAGATGTTTTTGTCAAAGTAGACACTAAATAAGTGTATTTCATTGTTATAGATAATTGATAAGTCATGCTTTTAGTTTAAATTTAAATTCGATTCGTGAAATATGATTAATGGAAGCTTTTATGCTAATCCTTTATAAGAGTTCATTTTTATCGTCCTCTAGCGTGTAAAACTTGCGAATCAAGTGAGCCTCTAGCATGTTTATCAGAAACAAATATGGCATTATATTTATATCCAAGCATAGTTTAATTCACATTGGTTGTTTAGCAGCAGATATTTATGTAGGTTTTTCTAACAGACCTAATATTTATAGCAGATACTGGAAGTGCAAAATAAAAATTACACCGAACGTCTTGCAGACCTAATAATCTAAACCTTGGCGATGTCAACGTTATCTTTTGAATCATGTTGCTCATCTTCCACCGTTTTGTACCTATACCAAGAAGCACAAAGCAAGTAAAATCCAAAGTTTACAACGCTGATCACTGACAACATCCAGTAGAAGTAGTTGAGCTTGTCTCTATTCAAGTTGTTACTAGCCAGCCAGCCTCCACTCACTTTGTTGACCACCTCAACCACCACCGTGCTTGTATAGTAACCGAATGCCACGGAACACCACGAGATCGCTGTGCCTAGTGACTTCATTCCAGCTGAACTTTCCGCATAGAAAAACTCCAAAAGTCCAATGAGGGTAAACATGTCTGCAGCTCCAAAAATACCATATTGGAAACCCAGCCAGAACACACTTATTGGCAAAGGCTCTGTGCTATCCACCATGTTGTGTTGGATGGCCACATTCTTGCGCCATGTTTCCACAAAACCAGCCACTGCCATGGAAACAGCAGACATTACCAATCCAATTCCAATCCTCTGAAGGTGTCGAATTCCTGTGGGAATCCCCGTGATTCTTCGAGCAAGTGGCACGAAGAAACGGTCATATAAAGGGATTAGGACAAACATGAACAACAAAGGGATGACCGGGAGAGAGGGTCCTGGCACTTTAAACCCCCCGATTTTGGTGTTCATTGTGGTGCTTTGTTGTATGGTGAAAGTCTGAAGTTGAGCCAAACATGTGTTCATGAATATGGTGCTAAATATTATTGGTAGCATGCGGATTAGGATTTTCGTTTCTTCCACTTGTGTTACTGTGCACAGTCTCCAGGGTCCATTTGCTGCACCTGTGCTGCTTCTACCAATTGCTGCTCGGTCCAAAAATCTGGGAATCAATTGTTACAAGAAAACCAAATGAGGAACTGATAAACAGTATTTCTTTCTAGTCAAAGAATGCAACAAGTCAGCTGACTTTAGAGTAAACTCCATTCAAATCTCTGTTTTATTTTATAACCTGAATTGATCTGTCTTTTTAAGGATTTCATAATCGTCCCCTCTTTGCTTTTCATGAGTCTCATGTAGTTCGTCTGTGTTATCTGGAACCTGAAGTTTTCTGTTTCTGAAAGCTGCCACAAACACCTAATAGTACAACAAACAAATATATGTGTAAGTCGGATTTAGCTGGTGCTGGTGTAAAGTGGGTAAGGATAAAATAAGTAATTTTAATCAACCGTTGATTTGCCAATAAATGTTAGATGCATGATGTATTAAGTCATACCTGTATGATTCGAATTAGAGGGCTTCCCTTTGGGACATTGTTTCGGTATAATGATTTGCCCATGCATATGAAGAGAATTGCAAATAAAATTGTTGCAGTGCATACAATAAAGCTCCAATCCCATCCTAGGTTGGCACCAATCCAAACAATGAAAGTAACACCAACTATTGCTCCAATGGTAAGGCTGAACAAGAACCAGTTGAAAAAGCTAGAGAGTTGAGCTGCCTCCTTGGGATCTTTATCATCAAACTGGTCAGCCCCTAAGGCTGGTAAAGCTGCCTTAATACCACCGGTTCCTAAGGCAACAAGGTATAGGCCAGTGTAAAGTATTGCAGCCTGGCCATCCGTGGCAGCCTCACATTGACTCATCTGGGTTGGTGCCACATCTTTGCAGGGTATGGGTCTTAATTGGTGGAACCATGCTTGAATTGTGAGGATACCATATCCCTGCAATTATAATTAGTTCTATCAGGATTCTAATTCTATGCCTTCACCCAATTCAATTAGTGAATCTTCAAGTTATCTACGATTCATCACATGATTCAAATAGTTAGCTTCTCAAATTATATCAAATAATTACTGGCAGAACTTTTTCATTTCTTCTTATCCTTTTGTCTTTTCTTAATAAATTTTTTTCACACTCTTAGAATTTACACCTTGGAAGGAAAAAGAGGAATAAGAGATGACACAGAGAAGAGGGGAAAGGAAATGTAAAGCGTAAAAATCAAGATTGTTTTTTGCATGAACATTTTCCTCAAAATTTGGTGCTTGTTCATCACCAACTAGACTGACTAGTTTGACAACTGCATACCACAGACTTCTAGTTGGCAACTTCAAACTTATTATATATATGATAAAGGAAATTTTAATACTATTTTATATATTATAATATTAATTTATATAAAATATGTTGGGAGTTAGATTTTATGAATAAATTGTAGTTAAAATTCTTTGAACTTTAAGAGCTATATTATACATACACGTATTTTACGATATTTTTATTTTTCATTACATAATATGCGTGTTTGGATAGATTATGGACAGACAAAAAGAGTAAGAGACGGAAAAGGTGAAGTTTGTAATTCTTTTGTTGTTTGACTTTTGATTTGTCTAAAAAAAATTGAAGAATGGAAGTTTTTTATATGGAGCCAAAACAATCCATAAAAAAGAAAGAGTTCCATGTTTTACATATAAAGAATAAATTATATTTATCTTTTAAATTTTTTTATTTTTTATTAAAAATAATCATGTCATTATAGATCATTTTATTTCTATATGCAAATAATTTTCTTTCCTTTCATTTCTCTACCAAACAACTAAAACATTTTTCAAAACTTTGTATTTTCTTTCCGTTCTTTTTTATTTCATAAATCAATCATGCCCTTATCTTTTTTTTTTCCCTTGTCTCTCTGTCATTCAAAAAAGTATATAAAACAATTGTAAACATACAATTTTCTCTTTAACTAAAGACAAGGTACAATGTTGACGTCAAATAAAATAGTTTTTTTTGTTGTAATAATTAATGTCTTTTGGTGCAGGCATCATGCACTTCAAATTAAGCTACTCTTTCTAGAAAAATGATACGTGCCCATACATAGCCATAATATTATTGGTTGTTGGTTGGTCCTTACTGAAAGAAACATGCCAGTCAAGGAACAAGCTGTGCTCCAATAAATCATCGAGCACTATATTTATAATTAATGGTTGACTAAAGTTTTCAATAAGAAATGAATGATCAATGCTTATTCATTTCCTTTTATTATGATCATTCACGTGATTCTTCCTCAATGATCGTTCTAATCAAAGCCACTTCATGATGCGGAAAAGCATTCTCCTTTTATCTTGTGACAGGAAATGAATGCAGTTGTAAGATAAATTGGTTCAACTTACCAGCAATTCCATGCATGCAAACAGAACACAGGTCTTGAACCTAGAGAGGAAGGTATCACTGATTATTCCACCAACCAGAGATAGTAAAAATGCAGTTCCCATAAAGTTGGTGAGTGTTGTGGCAGATTTTGTTAAGCTGAAGTTCATGTACCCATAGAAGTAAGTTACTAGGCTCACAGCATTGGCAACAAAAGCCATGTTCTCCAGCCCTTCCATGGCTGCATGCACAAATTGGAATTTCAATTATTTATCATAGAAACACAACACAACAAAAAAACTTGCTACACATTAAAGGGTAGAAGTTGTTACCATATACAAAAAGTGCAGCTCTGTTTCCTCCTATCCTTCTTTGAACCCTTGGTCGTGTAATCATATCTCTGCAGATTCCCTGGTGAGTGATCAAAACAAAACTCAATTAACCAAAGTTTAGACATAAGGAGATAGAGAGGGATACATAACACTAAATGCACGAGATTAAGCCTAAACATATATGTTTGAGAAACTGATTCACTCTTAGTAATCGGTTTCAAGAAGAACATTAAAAATGCTTGCACGAAAAAGGAAATTTAAAGGATCAATTAGTAATTACCATTGTTAGCGTCTTCTTTGATCCGAAGGACAGAACGTGCCGCTTCTTTAGGAATTAGCAGTTCATTCGTCATGAATTTATATAGAAACCAAGTTGCAATTGAAGTAAGCCATAAGCAAATCCAATGTCAACTTGGCATTAGAAAAATAATATTTTGTCACGTTTTGTAAGATGAGTTTCTGTTTCTCCTCCCCAGCCCCATAATGTGGGTGTTTTGAACTTATTAGTTGACATAATCATTTTTATATCACTAGAACGAATAAATTAAGTGTTGATAGGGTTGAAAACCATGTTAGTTAATTGGATTGATTGGCATCTTTGAACTACTTTGTTCATGCATGTGTAATGTACCAGAGCGTATATACCCTGTATAAAATATTGACCTTGTGAAACTCTCATAGCTCCATTCCTTTTCTAGCAATGCACTCCAAACTAAATATATAGTTATAGAATCAATTCCCAATTTGACCCAAAAATAAATCATTTTTATATGAGTCATACGGAAAGGATCTTAAAGGAACAACACATCAAATGAAACTTACAATTAAAAAAAAAATGATACCAAATTAACAAACCATGATAAACAAGTCTCCCCCTCCAAATACCGTAATAGTCGTATATCTACGATGATTTGCTATCATCGATGACTTTGATTTAAAAAAAGAATTTTGGCATCTCATAGTTGCAAGATTGTTGTTGGCACTATATGTCATTCAGAGTAATGCTATAACTAGAACAACAAAAAAACGCTAAAAAATAAAATTATTAAAAATAATTTAGAGGGTTTCTTTATATTGTTTTTAATAATAAAGAGTTTATGATTAAAATTTGAGAACAAGAGCACTGAAATTTAGACAAATTAACTACTAAAGTTAATTTAATGATAAAGGTTAAGGTATAGTTCTAGATTTGAACCATTCTAAAGTTATTTTAATTCCTATTCAAAAAAAATTTAAACGATATAAAGATTAATAATTTGTTTTTGAAAGAATGTTCCTTAGTTTAGACTTTAGTGACAAAACCATATTTCTTATAAGTTATAAAAAATTGTTCTCTTTGTGCATTTTTATAATTTTTAAAGATTTTATTTTTTGTCATCATCTAAAAAATTTTATAACTAATGAAGTATATTTTACAAAACTCTTATTTCCCCTTTTATTTTAATGATATAGAATTTTGTTTGTGTACTGTCCGTATCGCGAAGTCGAGCTCCGAGCTCGGCATCACAGCACAAAATGAGGTCGGGCACGCGCTACGCGACGTCAGCTCGGTACTTAAGCAGATCATAACCAATCTCGAGGGATCTCGCTTCAGACGGGATCCATCATTTAATCCTATCATATCTTATCTCAGGCCAAGACCCAAAGCAACCCTAATTCACACTAAGGTACGTGCATTACATATACGAGATTCATACTCCCACAAACACTAACTTTAGCATCGGAGTCTCTTTTGCAGGTACCACCCCCATCTTGGAGCATCAAGCGTACCAGCGAAGGAGGCTCACTAATCTTACTCGGAGGATCATCTCTACAGCAGATTTTCGGTAAGAACATTTGGCGCCCACCGTGGGGCCGATCAAGACAGCTCTTATCGGCCACGCTTATGGTTTTCACCAGAAGCCATAGTAGACACACAACAGACGACTTAAACCACTCAACTACCATGGATAACGAAGCAGCGTTGAGGAGACTAATTGACCAGGTCGAACAGATGCGGCAGCAACATGCCGCCGACCTACAAAACATGCGTGCCAAGCACGACACTGACCTAGCGGCAATGCGTACCGCTAATGAAGTCGACCTGGCGGCGCTACGCGCCGAGAACGAGCGAATTTGCGCTCAACTACCTCGACACCACTCCTATCATCCTTCTCATACGAGCAACCACAATGAGGAGCAGGAGCACTCAGTCTCCCAATCCCGGACTGCAACTAGGGTTCCAACCCCCAGACCTGCTTCACATCGGTCCCATGCACCGGCGCACAAGCCGACCCATGAAGTCAGCAAGGCTCCTACTCATGCCGCGGGGGATCAGGCAACCTTCCGCCGCCACCCTTTTGTGGATGGCATTATGGAGACACCACTCCCTCATGGGTGGAAGCCTCTCCACCTCGACCGCTACGATGGCACGACGGACCCGGACGAGCACATCGACCTGTACACAACACAGGTAAATCTCTACACCAACAATGATGCTATTTTGTGTAGGGTGTTTCCGACCTCACTCAAGGGGGCCACGCTCAACTGGTACACCCAACTGCTCCCCGAGTCCATCGACAGCTTCGGCACCCTAGTCAGGAGATTCACCGCTCAATATGCGACGAGCCGACCTCATCATTTCCCTTCAGCCGCCTTGGCCAGTCTCAGGCAAAACGACGACGAACCACTTCGGGCATTCATGGAACGGTTCGCCGCCACCTCGATCAAGATCAGAAACCTGAATCCCGAGGTCGCCCTACATGCCATGCTCATGGCACTCAAACCCGGGCCATTCGTCGACAGCCTGTGTTGTGAGTCCCCCCGCGACATGGACGAACTCCGCGCCCGCGCTGCAGGTTACATCCAGATGGAGGAACACTCCGCCTTCCGTGACCAGGTTCGCGGAAAAGGACCAGCAAAGCCAGAGCAGGGGCACAACGACAAGGTCAAAGTCAACAATGACAGCCAGTTCAAGAGGTCGGCTAAGGCAAACAGAGGGGGGAGATACGACTTCTACACTCCCCTGAATGCACCTAGAGTCCACATCCTAGAAGAAGCCAGCAACAACAACTTACTCACCCTTCCACCACCAGGTCACACTCCCAATAGCGCCGACAAGTCCAAGCACTGTCGGTACCACAGGAACCACGGTCACACCACGGAGGAGTGTCGCGCGCTCCGGGACCACATCGAAGAGCTCATCCAGGCAGGCCACCTCGGCCAGTACATCCAGCGATAGCAGGGTCATTGAGGAGGCTATGGTGGTCAGGGGCGTGGCAGAGGGCGAGGCTCGGGAACTCGCACGGACCAACCCTCTGGCTCCCAACAAAATGCCAGCGGCGCAGTGCAGGCCGAAGTAAGCCAGGAGACAGGGACAGCCCCTTTACGGGGAGTGATTAACACAATTGTAGGTGGTTTCGCCGGGGGAGGCGCCAGCAGCTCGACCCGAAAAAGGCATCTGCAGAATGTCAACTACATCCACTCTACCACCTCGGCCTCGCACCAAAGCTCACCGCCGATCTCCTTCTCTGACGAGGATTACGCGGGTGTCAGCCCTAACCAAGATGATCCCATGGTTATCATGGTGGAGGTCGCCAACTGGGAGGTACAGAAGACACTCATTGACCAAGGAAGTTCGGCCGACATCCTGTACTGGCCAACATTCCTTAGGCTAGACGTCCCCCATTCTCTCATTCAGCCGCACACGGAGCCCTTAGTCGGCTTCGCAGGAGAGCGAGTTCACACTCGCGGGTACATAGACCTACTGACAACCTTCGGGGTACCCCCGGATACAAGGAGAATCATGGTTCGATACCTTCTCGTGGAGGCCAACACCTCCTATAACATCATCATCGGGAGGCCAACCTTGAATCAGCTCGGAGCGGTGGTGTCCACCCCACACCTCACCATGAAGTTCCCAGGGAATGACGGCAAGATCATCTCCGTCAAGGCAAATCAGAAGACAGCTCAGCAATGTTACGCCGAGAGTTTGAAGATCTCCTCATCCGGAGCAAGGGGGGTCCCCCACCATAGCTCATTAGGTTCTATTTCTCCTTTCTGTATGAACAAAATTGTGCACTCTTTTCTCGCCTCAGTCCTTGACTAAAAGGGTTTTTAACGAGGCACACAAAAACGATCAATAAAATTACTTATTTCGTTGAATCCATTTTCTTATTTATTGGTTCTATAAAAAACAAAATCGAACCAATCTCTTTCACCCTCATTAAGGTCGAGTACGAACCATAATACTCCAAATCGAGGTCAAGTACGGATCTCAATACGTTCATCCGAGGTCGAGTACGAACCTCAATACGTTCATCCGAGGTCGAGCACGAACCTTGGCAATATTCGTTTTACTCCAAATCGAGGTCGAGTAAGAACCTCAATACGCTCATCCGAGGTCGAGTACGAACCTCGGCAAAATTCGTTTCACTCCAAATCGAGGTCTAGTACGAACCTCAATACGTTCATCCGAGGTCGAGTACGAACCTCAATACGTTCATCCGAGGCCGAGTACGGCAAAATTCATTTTACTCCAAATCGAGGTCGAGTACGAACCTCAATACGTTCATCCGAGGACGAGCACGAACCTCGGAAAAATTCGTTTTACTCCAAATCGAGGTCGAGTACGAACCTCAATACGTTCATCCGAGGTCGAGTACGAACATCGGCAAAATTCGATTCACTCCAAATCGAGGTTGAGTACGAACCTAAATAGGTTCATCCGAGGTCGAGTACGAACCTCGGCAAAATTCGATTCACTCCAAATCGAGGTTGAGTACGAACCTAAATAGGTTCATCCGAGGTCGAGTACGAACCTCGGCAAAATTTGTTTTCTCTTACAATGTGGTGAGTAGTCTAAGTGGATAGGTCCTACCGAATCGACAACGCAGAACCTTTTTGGGCTTGCTAAGTAAACAACAAATTTGGATAGAAATCCACAACACGATAATAATTTCTCAGACTTTGCCACTTAAACAAGGAAGTACAATACTCTGTCAGGATAGAACAACTGGGTTTAGGCCTACCACGACATTAGCTAGTTCAACTAAGCCACCTATGGGATTAGCCTACCGACTATCCTCCAAATACTACAACCCTCCGATACTCAGTTAGGAACTAAGTTTCCAACTTCGTACTTTACTCAAATTGGCCGCTTGTAATAGGTATAGCTCGACCTGACCCCTATACCGTGGTCGCTTCGTACACGTGTGCCTCAACCTTGCCCACACACGGGACCAACTAAGTCCTAGAGGAGAACAACACAACGTCCACTCCAAGGGACAACTTCCCAAGGAGAGTTTTCAACAAATTGGGCTCTTAGAGCACCACAACTATCTCAATCCGCACAATGGGATGAGAAACTTCAAAAATATATCCTCTAGTCCTAGTGATCAACAACTTATCATCACAACTGGATCAACTTACAACTCAATAACACAGCTCAGCTCAAAAACTTAAACAA